CTTTACTCCCCATGTCGCTAGCCTAGTGCTTGACCCTTAGGAGGCCTTCACTAGTAAATGCTCAAGTGAATGCAAGACATCAGCAGAAAACCAAGGTTAAGGAGGGGACTATTCTAGATTAAAAGGTATGAAAAATGACATAGTAGCCTAATGCAATACGAACCTCAGTTCGATTCTTGTTTTAAAAACCTAGTTACAGAGGATATTGTATGGACACGGGGGAAATTTGAACATGAATTGTATCTCATTATTGTATCAATGGTATTATGAATATTGGGGTCATTCTTAGTTTTAGAAATACAGTTGAGGTTTCTAGGGGGTAATGTGTTAAGATATCTGCATTCATTTCTAATGGGTCAGAAGAAAAAGTTTTATGAGGAGGAAAGCAGGAAGAAAAGAAATGCATCAAAATATCCAAATTTAATGAATATAGAGGAACAGCATATGGATATACGTTGTACTGTTTTATTGTCTCACTAGGTTTGAATTTTTTTCAAAATAAAAAATGGGAAAAAAAAATCAATGGAGAAAAATTTCATGAAAAGGTATCTGAGAGAAAATTTTAAGCTGTTATAAGCTGAGGTCGGTTTTAAAGCATACTATTAAATGTAACGAAGTCTAAGTTGTACATAATTACAGTGTTGGTATATTTAATGAGGAGGAAATAAAACCCAGTAGAATAAATAAAGCCTCTCTAGAAAAAAATTTTAGAAAGGTGTGAAAGTAGATTTCTAGTGGCCGCCAGAGGGCAGTGCAGACAGTAATTCTGTTGTCCACAGCCAGTCTACTGAAAACCTGCAGTACTGGCTCCACATGAGGTCGCTATTCTTTGTACAAACATTTTTTAGGGTCTTTGGACCATTTAAACAGTTTTAGAAGGAGTGTATGTAGATAGTTATACTTTTCCCATTTCTTTCTCCCCACTCAGATCTGCTTTTAAATTCTGTGGGTTTTTAGCTTTTGGCTCTTCTTTCTAACTCATGGACTCTGGACGGATCTGAATATTGGAGTGAAGATCTTCCACTATGCATATGTTTCAAAGGCCAATAATACATTATCCCCTAGCAAGTCAGGATCCATATCTTTTTTTTTTTTAGAACAAACTGTCAAATCATGATCTTATTATAGTTAACCTTTAGATTTCCTAGAACTATAAAAGTTCTAACTTCATTTGAGAATTACTGTTATATGCCTCCTTATTGAGTCGACTCAGTTTCATCATTCTGTATCTTTAACCAGATGTGTTATGTGTAAATTAGGTGTAGTTACAGAAATGTGCCCAGTATATTAAAAGATTACACTGTATAGGTGGCTGTTCTTCTAACACTTACCCAGTGCCTAGAGAGATAGATTGTATCAGTAGACTTAGAAATGTAAAGTTCTTAACTTTAAAATTTAACCAGTAGACTTAGAAATTTAAATTTAAAGTGGAAGTTATTAGAGAGTTAGCCCCAGGCTCTTGAGATATGTAAAATAAGATGAAGAGAGAAGGCCAGCCTCAAAGAAATGGGCTTTGGTAAGAAGTAGAGCCAGATATCAACAAAAGTGCTTTGGGCTGAGAGGCACACAAGTGATGAATGAGGATTATTTCAGGTAGAAATACTTGGAGGCTTTGCTTATACTGTCTTTGCTCAGTATACAAAGTTCTGTGTACAGGACTTCAAGGCTAAGCATCAGGATAATACCAGCCTCTCTTGATAGCTTGCTCTGACCTGACCCAAGGAGTTAAGTACTTTTCCTGTGTTCTCTTTGTATCCAGTTCAAATGTCTTAATAGCACATGATTCATGATTGTTAATCCGCATGCTTGTCTCCCCTGTGACTAACAGGTTGGTGCATTTATTTCCCCCATTCTGTTTCTGTTTTGGTCCTGCATATGTGTTCCTCCCTTTGGAATATACTCTTTTTAAATCCTGCCCCCCCAAAAAATACAGTGGCTCTCTGACATCCTTAAAAGTAAATGAGAAAAAGAAATATCCATTGTGTACCTTCTTTCTATTGAGTTCCTACTCACTGTTAGGTGTTTTGTAAGCATTTTCTCATGTAATTTTGTTTTTTTTTTCATACAAACATAGAAAGCTTCTTTCCTTTTAGATCTTAGTGCTTGCTCTCCTAGAAGCTGTTTATCTTCAAGCCTCTATACGGCTCATAAAGTAGCTCTTTCTTCCTGTCTTTGTGATGGTAGTAAGAGTTTAAACTCAGAGCCTTGTACTTGCTAGCCTTGTGTGTTATCATTGCTCCACACTTCTAGCCCTCTCATTCACTGGTTAGTTTAAGGATAGGGCCTTACTTCCCACCTGCACACCTGCCTGGGCTACACAGTCCACTTACCATAGGCTTCCTGTCAATGCTGGGATCACAGGCGTGGGCCGCCTTGTGGAACTTAGCTTCCCTGTAGGTGGACTTTTCAGTGATGGCTGGCCTGTCATTGTGATCCTCCCAGTCTCAGACTCCCAGCAATGGGTTGGAAAAAGGGGGGGTCTTACTTAGTTTTCTGCCTGAGCTGGCATTCTTCCCATTCTGTCTCCCAAGTATTTAGGATTAAGAGATTGAATCACCAGGGCCTGGTTTAGTAGCTCCTTTTTCTGCCAGCAAGTATGAATTTATTCCAAGTTATTGCTCTCTCTCAGTGGTAGGATGGGTCTCAGGGACAGGAATGAGCTAAGGTATGATGGAGCTTTCTTGACTTCTTCCTTCTCTGTTCTTCCTGTCCTTCTACTGCTCCCTCAGTAAAATGAGTCCATTTACTGGATGTCCCAACTTAGTTTTTAATTTTTTTATTATAATTGCTTTCTTTCTAACTCATTGTAACTGGCAGTGTTCTCTAGATCCTGTTTCTTTTAGGAGGTGTGGGATTGAGTGTTTTGCTTAGTCTTGAGAAAGGGCTAATCATCTGTTAACATATGTTTTTGCTCTTCATAAGACCTGTATAAACATATGTCATGAGTTGCTTAACAACAGGGACACATACTGGAATGCATCAATGATTTCATCATTTCCTGAACATCATGAAGTGTACTTGCACAAACTAAGATAGCTAATTGATATAATCTAGTGGGATCTCAATCATGGTCCTTCCTTGGCTAAAATGTTATATATAGTGTAGTTAGCAACAATAAAAATTCCATTTATTTCTGTAGATTTAGTGGTAAAAAACCATGCAATCAGGTGTTAGTATTCTGAAATGCTGTCAAATCTAAAAATCATATCCATTCTTGAAAGTTCATTTCTAGTCTCCACTCTGTTATTTTCTTTATCTATTAATCCACATAAATCTTTCCTTCCCTCATTTTTCCTATGTTGTACATTCTTCAGTTTGTCCACTGATATAGATTAAATTTTATGCATTATTATTATTTAATTTTTCTTGATATTTAGTTACTTTGTATATTTCTATCTTACAGGACCACTGAGATGGTAAAACACCAGTGGATTGTGGGCAACATTTTCTCAGTGTTAGCAATGTTCAAATATCATGTCCTTTTTAGAGGACATATTTGAAGCAAAATGTATTTATGTAATTTATTTTTGTTAATGTATTTTTAAAATTACTTCCTTAAAAGTAATTTTAAAATAATTCACCCAGAACTGGGAATATGGCTTGGTGGCCTAGCACATGCTTAGTATGTGTGAGACTCTGGATTTGATTCCAGCGTCAACACACACACATACACAGACACACACACACACACACATTATCTCATTTAGTTTTTCTGAATTAGATAGAAAAAATTTTCCCTTAAGTATGTGATTATTTTTCCCCATGTTTTTATTATCCATATAATTCTCAGTATTCATTTAAGACTAATGTTACTGTAATCTGGTACAATGCTTCAAGGAAATGTTTCAAGAAAGACAGAATACCAATTATTTCCTGTAGCTTTTATATAAAAGGCCATTTGAGAAGGTACAACCATTTAAATCTTTTGTAGGATTGTGGGGTGAATTTTTGTAGTTGCTCTATTAAAGTCATTTTCAAGGTTTATTTGACAAAATATCAATATTTGAATAGCAATAATTGTCTAAGCTTCCTAATTACATGCTGAGCTTTCTAATTCTTACCAGAGCTGCTGCTTCCTGGCAAAGCTTAAACATCAGTCTCCAATCAATCAGTTAGATTAATTTCTCTGTGGTATAATTAAATTCATCGGACCCAGTTACTGGCACTTTTCAGACATCACACTGATTCTTATCATGAAGCCATTAAGAATATTTCAGTTTTAAAATTACCCGTTTGGCAAGTTGGACTCATAAAAGCACGAGTAGAATGGTAGTTGCTAAAGGGATGGGGATTGGGAGAGAATTTGGAAGCTCTTGGTCCTATGGTATAAATTTTCATTTAGAAGATAAAAAACCTTATAGGAATCTAATGTATAGCATTGATACAATATTTTGTACCTTATTGTTTACTTGAAATTTATTAAGAGTGTAAATGTTTTTACCATATACACACACATACACAGACATTAACTTCGTGATAATGGATATGTTAGATCTCTTAAACCATCACTTTGTACACCTTGAATACACATAAGTTTTGTCATGTTCACCTCAATAGAGAGAGAAACTAAAAACTCACTTTGCAGAATCCGTCTTTAATCTGCTAAGAATACCTTTCTTTAAAAAATTCTTCTATTCCTAGGGGCTGGGAAGGTGGCTCAGTGGTAGAGCGCTTGCCTTGCATGCCTGAGGCTCTGGGTTCGATTTCCCAGCACCACATAAGCAAAAAGAAAAAAAGCCGGAAGTGGCACTGTGGTTCAAGTGGTAGAGCGCTAGCCTTGAGCTGAAGAGCTGAGGGACAGCGCCCAGGCCCTGAGTTCAGGCCCCATGACCGGATCCCCCCCCCCAAAAAAAAATTCTTCTATTCCTGAAATGTTAACAGAAATGTTTTTTAAAAGGTAACCTGACTTGATAATGTATTTTAAAAATCTGAAATGGCTATAATATAAACAGAGGAAAAAAATGCCTCAAAAATCTAACAACATTTCTTTTTATTTATAGAGGTATTTTCTAGTTGGGAGCAATCATGCAGAAACGAAATATCGTGTCTTGAAAATTGATAGAACAGAACCAAAAGATTTGGTTATAATTGATGATAGGGTAAGTATCTTCCCAAACCTGGCCACAAACAAAAACTTTCATGTTTATTGTTTAAAGGTTATGAAATATCCTTATAGCTTTAGAAATGTTTTTTTCTTTTAAATCATGAATCTAAAAGTTACAACTGTTTTTCTTGGTTGACTAGAATTTGTATCTATTCTGTTTTCTAGAAATTACTGGTGTCAAGGTATATGCCATAATTATACTTTGTCTTTCAGTTTGATTGTTTGGAAAGCACACATCTTAGATAATTTATGAATATATCTTCTTAAAGAGTTGATGTTTTGAGCACTCAGTACAACTTAATGTTACATCCATGGAAGATAATATCTATTAATATGCTTCCATATAAAGTTACTTAAAGTCCAGGAAGACTTCTATGCTAAAGATGCTTTATTATACTGTTAAAAATCACCTCTATGACCACTTCTGCTGACTTCCTATTCACTTGAAATTGAGAAATGATTCTTACTAAGATAATATTTTATTCAGAGTCAGGAATAAAGAGGCTTAATTCAGGTAGCACAAAACATGAAATAGTCAAAAGTGAAATCTAACAAATTGGTAATCAGTATAGTTAATTTTGGCTCTTTTCAAATGCGGGATTATGTCTTACATATTAAAAAAATTCTTGTCTGTGAATATTTCTTAGTTCATGTAGATTCCTGGTTTTTAAGCAGGAAAATGAGTTTGGAACTCATTTTCATTAGACCCTTTGCAAAACTATTTTCTTTTTTTCTTCTTTTTTTTTTTTTTGGGTCCGGTCATGGGGCCTGAACTCTGGGTCTGGGCGCTGTCCCTCAGCTCTTCAGCTCAAGGCTAGTGCTCTACCACTTGAGCCACAGCGTCACTTCCGGCTTTTTTCTTTTAGCTTATGTGGTGCTGAGGAATCGAACCCAGGGCCTCTGACATGCAAGGCATGTGCTCTACCACTGAGCTACCTTCCCAGCCCTGCAAAACTATTTTCTGTGTTGTAATAATTTTGGTTAATTTTTTTTTTTTTTTTTTTTTGGTTGTGGGGCTTGAACTCTAGACCTGGGCACTGTCCCTCAGCTCTTCAACTCAAGACTAGTGCTCTATCACTGCGCCACTTCTGTTTCTGAGTGGTTGGAGATAAGAGTCTCACAGACTTTCCTGCCTGGGCTGGCCTTGAACCACGATCCTCAGATCTCAGCCTCCTGAGTAGCTAGGATTACCGGTGTGAGCCACCGGCGCCCAGCTTAATTTTGAATAAATTTTTTATTGTGATTTCCTGCATTACTCCTGGAGTCCATTCCTCCACTTACCTATGAATTTATAATGATTCTTGGCTTTATTTGGGAATGGAATTGACCAATGAGGGAGCCTTTGAGAAGCTAAGAGCTATGGATCTTCTCACAAAAATGCATACATATCCATATAATTTTAAGTCTCTGAATACCTGGCTCAGAGTATAAGGTTTTGATCACATTTTTTTTTAGTATAGTAATATGAGCCAATTACCAGCTTATGTTAAAGAATTATTGGCTTTCTAAATGACAGCTTAGTCATACATTATGTAGTGTAAGAAATAGGGGTTCTTACAGGCAGCTTTTAATTTTTAGGGGTAAATAATAATTGATATAACCTTATAGATTACTTGTGCTTATTTTTAGCATGTATATACTCAGCAAGAAGTACGGGAACTTCTTGGCCGCTTAGATCTGGGAAATAGGACAAAAATGGGACAGAAAGGATCCTCTGGGTTATTCCGAGCTGTGTCAGCATTTGGTGTTGTCGGTAAGAAATGAGGCTCCCTGTGGCTACCTTCTTTCCCCGCCCCTTTTTTAAAGAGAGCTTATAAGCTATATAGATTTATAGTTATAACCCATCACTGTGTTATCAATATAAATAAACCATCATCTCTGAGCTATTACCTATAACTTTAAACAATCTTTCATTGTTTAAACTTAATTCTCCATAAATCAAAGAGCATTTATACATCTATGTGCCCAGCAGATCATGTTTTTTTTTTAAAATGCCATTACTGATTAAACTTAGGATCTCATGCTCTCACTTGATTCTTTCACTGAAGACTACTGCTCTAACACTTGTGCCACACCTCTGCTTTGGGCTTTTTGGTGATTACTTAGAGATAGGAGTCTCAGATTTGTCTGCTCTGGCTGGCTTCCTACTGGGATCCTCAGATCTCAGCTTCCTGAGTATCTAAGATTATAGGCTAATTGCCTTCATCCAGGATATAAACAAATCTGGAATTGTTCATAGGTCTTTGCAGAGTCTGCTGGCTGGCTTGTTGTGAAATGAAAAAGTAAAAAATTAGCTTAGACTGTTAAGTATTTGGCCAAAGTGAAAATACAGTAAAATGAAAAGGAATTTATCCTAAAAACAGGCTGTAGTAGTGAGGTATCAGCACTTCCTTTTGGGGATGACAACTGTTTTCTTACTCAGTGAGAAACTTCTTTAAAATTACAAAGCATCAGAAACTTTGCTGTTGAAATTGTATGAGACAGATGAAACATCTCACTGTTACCGGCAAGATCTAAGTCACTGTGGCACGAGAAGCAGCTTCTATTTACAACTCATGGATAGAATTTCAGATAAGGGATTTCTGGACACACATTCTTTCCTCAGCTAATATTGTTGTTTTCAAGAAATCAGGATCCTGGTCTGCTTCATAGTTGAAGCTTGATATTGATGTATTTAAGTATAGACTGCTTTGGTTTGAGCCTTGCCTAAGCCTCTCTTCCCCTTTTCTTTCCTTTAGTGGGATGTTCCATAGTTCCTTCTGGTGGGGGAAGGAATGGGTAGAAAAGGGGAGAGAATGATGAAAGGAGTGACTCTGTTCAAGATGCATTGTACACATGAATGGACATACTAAATTGAAATTCTCTTGCATAACTATTTGAAGTTGATACTAAAATAAAGAATATAGTGCAGTGCTTTTCAAGTCTTTGTGGTAAAGGACCAGTGTTTTGCCCTAATATGTTTCACACCAGAACATGATACTATAATCCATAACTTGTAGTCATGTTATTCAGCATGCAACTCAAAACATTGAGTTCATTGTCACCCAAACTATAATCTATATCCTTCCAAGGCAAATTCATTGATCATGCACACACATATTGTAGTGATCTCAAATTACTCCAAGATTTCTAACTCCTGTTCTAAATTGTTTACTTATCATGGCACTGAAAGTTTATGGGCAGGTCACTGGATCCTAATTTGAGTGTTACACACCTAGACAATTTTCTTTGCTCTAAACATGCATCATTCTATCTGTAGCTACATTGCCAATCCTGTGCTGTTCATTGGTATTAGGTGGCCAGCAGGAAATTTGGTAAACTAATGTTTGGTATTATGAGTTCTACCACAAAGTTGTTTTTTCTGGTCTTGGGGTATGTGAATGGAGTAGGTGGCTGGCGACCTGGAGTCCTTATTACTGTCAACTCTGTGACCATCCTAGGTCCTTCTGATACATACCCCATAGGCATATATCCTTTTATTGCCTTTATCACCTGTCAGAGACTGCTCATTTATTTAATTCATTCGTTTATTTTATTATTTGTTTGTGTGTGTGTGTGTGTGTGTGTGTGTGTGTGTGTGTGTGTGTGTATTCCTGTGTGCCAGTTATAGAGTCTGAACTCAGGACCAGAGTTTCTTTTGCTCAAGGCTACCACTCTTATCACTTGAAGCATAGCTCCACTTCTAGCTTTTTTTTTTTTAAATTGTGAAAATACCATACAGAGGGGTTACAATTACATGGGAGAGATAGTGAGTACATTTCTTATCAAGCATTGTTGCCCCCCCCCCCCCCCCCCCCCGCCCAGCCAAAGTTGTAAAGTTCATTTTTCGACATAACTTCTTATACATCTCATTGTTGTAATAGGTCCACCTGTAACCCTATTTAAACAATTTGTTTTTTTCCTTCCCCTCTACAAATTATATCAACATCAAATACAGTGAAGCAGGGCTTATACCCTGGGGGAGGTACATACAAAGCAACAAAGAAATCATCTTATAAATATGTTGGCAACAATTGCAAGAAAGAAAAAAACATTTGAATCCTTATCTTGGGGTTCATTTTGCCTAACGTCAACTTGTCTGACAGTTTCTGTTTGTCTAGTTATTGCAAATAAGGGAAACCATGGGACCTATATTTCTTTGGGCCTGGCTTACTTCACTTAATATAATTTTTTCCAAGTCTTTCCCCACTTATAGCTTTGTGATTGTTAATTCTAGCTAAAAGTCTCACAGACTTTCCAATCCAGGCTGGCTTTGAATCGCAGTCCTCAGATCTCAGTCTCCTGAATAGGCGTAAGCCACTGGCACTATATTATTTTAAAGGGGAATGGGTAAAATAAGTGCCTTGTAGTAAACTAGGCAATAGAGACTAAGCTCTTACTTAAAACAGTGCCTTTAAAGATAGATGGGAAGTCCAAAGTAGCAATGTAAGGGCCTCAGAATAGTTCGGGAGCAGTATAATTTAATGTTAGAGATGTCACTTTGGTTCTAGTTTTATAATTCAGGTAACATGTACAATGCTTTTTAGACAATGTCACCCCTTCCTTTGCTTTTCCTCATTTCCCCCCTCCCATCCCTGCGTGTAAATTGCTTAGTTCATTTTTTATGTAGTATATATTGAATATCCTGGTCTTTTTTTTTTTTTTTTTTGGAGAGGAAGGAGGTTCCATGATTACACATGTCTAGAGGATATATCATGAAGACTCACTTGTGAACATTAGCATTCTCTGAACTGGAAGTTTCAAAAATTTATGTAGTTTTCTTAAGTTTTTCAGCCTAGCATTTCTCAAATTTATTTGCTTACAGTGACTCTTCTCCCACTAAAATTTGTCAACTAGTATTTTGTGAAGATTATGTTAGAGGCAGTATTCTTATGGATATTTAAGTCTTCAAATCATACCAAACCACCACTCAGCAGTATGCCTTGTCTACATTCTTTTAGTTTGTAGGGAATATATATTGAGTTCTGTTTTGACATGTGAAACAGGCCAAAGAAATGTGTCTTCAGTTTTATCAGTCCTGTGTGTATGTGTGTGTGTATATATGTGTGTGTGTGTGTTTATAAGTAAAATTGTGGCAAATAATATAACATAAAATGTACTACCTGAATCCTTTTTAATTACATCATTCAGCAGTGATAACTGTGTACCTTGTCAGCAGATCTAGAAGATTTCATTTTCAGAATTGAAAAGTCTATATCTATTGAATAATTCCTCTTAATATTTTATATGTTTTTGCTCAAGGTTCTTCAGTCATATTTAGAATAAGACTAATTTTATTGAATAATGAATGAAATAAAATTGTTCAGATTAATAATTTTAGGTGATATAAGTGATAGTAAGGGTATTTCTAAAGAATACTTGTAATACAATCAAAAATTTCTGTGGCTATAAATCAGAGATTTGATCAAGTCAGAAACCTATCAAGTCTCTGATCTCTTAAATATGTATGTAAAGCATCACCAAGCTTATAAACATTACTGATTTTTTTTTCATTGACAGGGTTTGTCAGGTTTTTAGAAGGTTATTATATTGTGCTGATAACCAAACAGAGGAAGATGGCAGATATTGGAGGTCATGCAATATATAAGATTGAAGATACCAATATGATCTATATCCCCAATGATTCTGTACGGATTTCTCATCCTGATGAAGCTAGGTATGTACTGGTGGTATCTAGGTGGCTTTTTGTTTTTGTTTTTTTTGGTAGTACTAGGGTTTGAACTCAGGACCTAATGCTTATCTTATTTGCTTGGCTAGACTTGTTTGGTTGGCTAGTGCTGTACTACTGAAGCCACACACCTCCAGCCTAGCTTTCTGCTGGTTATTTTGGAGATAGAGTCTCATGAACTTTTTTGCCTGTGCTGGCCTCAAGTCACAGTCTCTTCTGGATCTTAACCTCCTGAGTGGGTAGATCACAGGAATGAATCACCAGGGCCTGTTTTACATTATTCATTCACTTTATTTATTATTATTTCAAATACTGTAGCAATTAGAAAGCAAAGCATAATCAAAGATTATAAATGTTGCATAAAAAGATCAAATATTGGCTTAGATTTCTACAGCTTTTGTTCAGGGCTATTAAAGCTCCATTATAACAATCAATTCAAAGATTTAACAGTAGCTATTAAGATCATTATGTGCCAGGCACCTGTGGCTCATGCCTGTAATCCTCCTAACTCAAGAGGCAGATCCAAGTGGTCACAATCAGAAGCTAGCCTAGGCAGAAAAGTCCATGAGACTGTCTCCAAAGTAACTGTGCCATCTGAGCAAACAAACCTAGCAAGAGTGAGGGCTTGCGTTCAAACCCTATTATTAGCCAAAATAAAAAACAAAACCCATACTATTAGGTGTAAGGAATAAAATATTCATAGTCTTAACACATTAAAGTCTTTGGATCTCTTCAATTTATAAGATAAAGAATTTTTATGATTCTTTATTTTATAATAATGGCAGACATACTTAATGGAATAACTGGCAGACATACTTAACCAAATGATGAAATGATATCACTTTTCTTTTTTTTTCGGTCAGTCATAGGGCTTGAACTCTGGGCCAGGGTGCTGTCTGTCAGCTCTTCGGCTCAAGGCAAGCACACTGCCACTTGAGCCAAAACACAATTCTTGTGGTTTATTGGAGATAAGAGCCTTGGGGACTTTCCTACACAGGCTGGCTTTGAACCGTTATCCTCAGATCTCAGCCTCCTGAGTAGGTGGGATTACAGGAGTGAGCCACCATTACAGGCATGAGCCACTGACCTCTGGCATAATAGCACTTTTTAATTGAAGCAAGGTGAGATAATTAAGTAGTTTTTTGCTGAAAATATTAAACTTGACTTCAACTATGAGGAAATATTTTTTTAATTTTTTAAATTATCTTTAAGTTGTTATACAGAGGAATTCATTGAACATGTTAGTTTATGAGCACAATGCATATGGAACAATACCATCTCTTCCGTTTTTGTCCTCCTTCCCTTTCAACACCATCATTCCCCTCAGTTATGCTAGGCATTATGATAGGCATTGAATAGTATGATTGTATTCCCCCTGCCCCCAAAATAATGTTTTTAAATTCCTGTCATGGGACTTTTTGCAAGCCATTTTTGATATCTTCAAAAATGTCATAAAAATGTCAGTCATCACAGAGAAACAAAAGACCATTCTAGATTTTAGAACAGATAAAATACATGAATTCCAACTATATCTTTGATTCAGATGTGCATTTCATGCACACACATGCAGAGAGCTATAAACATATAATAATGTCACAGATTGAATATTTCTTATCCAAAATGTGGGGGAGAAGTGTTTCAGATTTTAGACTTGTTGGGATATTTGCATTAAATATGCTATGACATCTTGAGACTGGGATCCAAGTCTAAATAGAGAATTCAGATATTTTTCTTATACATATACAGTAGGTGATTTTATACAGTATCCTTTGTGTACCTATGTTTTGACAGCAGCATGTCACATGAGGTCAAATGTGGAACTTTCCATTTTTTTTTGTAGTGTCATGACAGTGGCTCAAAATGGATTCAGATTTTGGAGCATTTCAAATTTCAGATTTTCATATGGTGGGTTCTCAATGAAAAGGATTAGAAAAATAAAATGTACTTGTGTATTTAGAGAGAGAGAAAGAGCGAGCGAGCGAGAGAAAGAGACAGAGAGAGAGTGTTTAAAAAAGCTTCTAACACTGAGTTTTTAAGAAGGATATACTGGTATTGGTTGTACTATTTTTCCCCTAAGCTTTTCATAAATTTGAAGCTTTTCAGAAATTCTAGGAGGAAGTTATTAGAGTCTTGAGAATGTGGGTAAAAGCTATCAACAAATAGATTTAAAATTATAAAAGTTCCCTTGAAGGTTAAAATGAAACAAAGTTAGGCATCCTTGTTTTTAGGATGGGTAATGATTTAGATTTTAATTTTGTTATTAATTGTATTTTTTTGACATACAAATCGAAATTTGAGGTGATAGAGATCTTTTACTTGAGATCTCATTAGGTAATAATTTTCTGGATTTTTGTGATATTGACTTTAAATAACTTGTTAGTGGTGATGCTAAAAATAATTTGCTTCAGATGAGGATGGATACAATCTACTGGGTAAAATAAAGAAGATCTCTTGTTTTGTACAAACTGAAAGTGATATCACAAATAGCATACAGGCAGACATATATGTTAATTGAAAGTGAATTAATTAGTCCAGCACATAAAAATGAAGGGAAGAAAAGAGTTCAAGAGGTTTATAGATGCTTTATACTTCATATATACTTTATATGTAAACTCTGCATTCATGATTCAAGAATATAAAATAATTTTTTTCTATACAGTGATTTGGCTAGCTGTAGAGTGAAATTATCAATGATTACTACTATAGTGAATGGATATTATCCAGAATAAGATGCAGTTAAATTTATAATTTATTATAAGTAGGATGAAACAATATTCTTTGATAGGAAAATGTTTAACATACTTGTAAATGTTTAACACATTATATTTAAGTAACATATAATAATTTAAGTAACATATAATAATTCATTTCAATAAAAATATTAGATAAAATATTGAGAATTAAAGCAAGTACTATTTAATGTTTCATACATAAGGACAAGTATAGATTATCCTTATAATACATGGTTACATCAACATTAGAAAATTTACTGAAAATTGTTACTTTAAAATATGGTGAGGAAAAATATGACTATCTTCACATTTGTAGTAAATATATGTGGCAGAATTCCAGATCCATTTGCGATCAGTGATTAGAAAACTATGGATATAAGTATCTTTTCTGAACCTGGTAAATGATACTTATTAAAAAGTTATATCTAAAATTATTCTTGGAAGCAAAATTTAAAACATTGCCTTTGAAGTAAGGAAAAATAGAGATATCTGCCATAACAAATATATTGAAAGCTTTATTCAATAGATTAGAAAGATTAGAAAGCTGAGGCATGAAGCTTGAAAAGAAACAAGCAGGGGAAACAAAGGAGGAGGCAACAATGCTCAATAGGAAATGTACTCATTACCTTGCTCATGTAACAGTAACCCCTCTGTACAGCATTTTTACAATAAAAAAAGAAAGAAGAAAGAAGCATTGCCATTATGTATGCAGCATGATTTTCTACTTTAGAAAATCTAAGAATACCTACTCTCAGAACTAATGAAAAAATTAAACAAATGACTGAAGAAAACAATAGACATGTATGAATCAGTAATTTTCCCACACCTGAGTGATAGAGAAAATTTCATGATGACCCTATTTACAGTAGCAGCAAAACCATACTGTATCTGGGAATAAGTATAACAAAATTACACAAAACTTTATTATAGAGAAAATTTCTAGCGCTGTTGAATACTTAAAACCCCTAATAATGGGAAAGCTGTTCCTTTGTTCATATATGGTAAGACTGAGTATCCTAAGTGTTGCTTTTTTTTCTAAAATTGGTTCATACATTCAATGTAAATGTAACCTACACTCAAGAAGGTTAATAAAAAATGGAACATGACAAGCTTCTTTTAAAATTCATGTAGAAATGTAAAAGTCTAAGCATAATCCAGACAGTTGTAAAAAAGAAAACAAGAAAGGGTAAGTCTAACCAAGAAAGGGTAAGTCTAACCAAGACAGTAGGACTTGTAATAATTTAGATAACTGGATTGTTATTTCTGATAAGACTGCTTGGTATTCATGGAGGAATTGGCATTGGCCAATGAACAGAGTCACGAAGGTCCAAGAAAATAGCCATTTTAGTTAGGAAAGTGATATATATTAGAGTTAGTGTACGTGCTGGTTTTTCTATTTGAAAGGTGATAAAATTAGATTCCACTTTCTGATAGTTTTCAAGGAACAATTCAAAAAGTACAACTTTAAGAAATTTATGGAAAATATTTCAAGATCTTAGCATGGAAAAAAATTTATAAATAATGCTAGATTAGCTGGGTGCTGGTGGCTCACACCTGTAATCCTAGCGACTCAGGAGGCTGAGGATCGTGGTTCAAAGCCAGGAGGTAAGAGGATTGTGGTTCAAAGCCAGCCCGAGTAGGAACGTCCACAAGACTTTTTTTTTTTTTCTGCTTATGTGGTGCTCAGGAATCGAACCCAGGCCTCATGCATGCAAGGCAAGCACTCTACCCTGAGCCACCTTCCCAGCCCCTACAAGACTCTTATCTCCAGTTAATCAGCAGAAAAGCAGAAGTGGCACTGTGGCTCAAGTAGAGCTCAGCGACAGCTCCCAGGCCCAGAGTTCAAGACTCACGACCAACAAAGAAAAAAGAAAAAGAGAAAACATTGCTATATTTGATGCTTTCTGTATTAAAAATACTTTTACAATTTAGGCAAATTTTAGGAGACAAACAACAGTGAATGTAGACATTTACAACATATAACAAAGAATAGTATTTAGAATATCTGATAAATTTCAGGGAGAAAAAGATAGGCAGACTTACTGAAGAATGGTTAAAAGTAAGAGCAGATATATCACAGAAGAGATGCTGAACTTTGCTTTTAGTTTGGGAATTGCAAATTTTAAAAGACACCATTTCTTTCTCATTCGTCAGAGTAGGAAGAAAATATCTGCTGCCATCAAATGTTATTGGGAAATGAATTCATACTATGAGATCCAGGCTTTGAAGATAAATGAGTTATACCCTGTGAGTTGGAGTGATAACAGTCCCTCAGGCAGACATACTCTAGTACAACTGAAAATGCATTATCTACAACCCATTGGTTTTGCTTCTTTGTATGAATATATATGTATATATATGTATATATATATATATATATATATGTATATATATATATATATATATATATATATACAGGAAAATGGAGTGTTCTTAGCTATACTATTTCTTATAGTGGAATATTGGAAAGAACTTACTACTCTATCAGCTGAGGAATACATACGTAAAATGTGGTATGTATGATTCAGTAAACATCAATTAAAGCAAACAAATTCTAAACTTTCAACACCTCTGCATTTCAAAATACGAGTGAGTAAAGTTAGTTGCAGAACAATATAGAAAATATGAAATGGTCTGTGTAATATATTCAGCATACAATATAAGTTATATGTCACTTAGAGATGTCTAATGTGGACAAAGAATTATAACAGTAATCAGGAGAGTATTGCATTTAGTGAGAGAAAATGAAACTGGGAAGACTAAATTGGATTTTAACTTTTAAAATTCTGTTTTAATTGTTTTATGCTAAAAGCATTAAAGTGAGTGTGAAAAAATGTGAATGATATTTACTCCTAAGTGGTAGATAATGTGGATATTTTGTTCTATACTTTATTTTTCACTTAAAAAAACCATGCCGACTTAAAGCAATAATGATCCACAAACATTTTGTTTTTGCTCCATCCAACCTCAAGTTATTTACAAAATACACTGTAAAACAAACACAGTCTTTATTTCTGTCTGCGCCCACAAATGGGTGGGGTGCCTGGCAGCCTGTTGCTATAAGGAAGGACTGTGGAACTGAAGTTAGTTAGGGCTGTGAAGTATAGTCAGCAGACTTAGAGTTGCTTCAATGACATCTCTGTTTCAGGGATGGCTTGAGTTCCTCAGGTCAATGCTGTACTTACTAATATAAATATAAGCATATGTTAAACGTGAAAAATAACAGAATTGTATAAAATGTAATAGACTTTTAATTTTTCTTTTAGGTATCTACGAATATTTCAAAATGTGGACCTATCTAGCAATTTTTACTTTAGGTAGGTTTGTGTTTTGTTTTGTCCCTATGACTCACCTAAACTTTCTCCAGGGGGTAAAAACAGAATCAGTGTGTAATTAATAGTGAATTATTTCACTTGGAAGCATTAGAAAATCTGATATTTAAAATTTTTGAATGGATAAATTAAGACATTATTTATTCTCACTATAAAAATCAATTTTGGCCAGGTGCTCGTGGCTCACTCCTTTAATCCTAGCTACTCAGGAAGCTGAGATCTGAGGTTCATAGTTCAAAACCACCCTGGGCAGGAAAGGCTGTGAGACTCTTATCTCCAGTAAACTACTAGAAGACCGGAAGTGACACTGTAGCTCAAATAGCTCAAATGGTAGAGCACTGGCCTTGGGCTGAAGAGCTCCGGGATAGCGCCCAAGCCCAGAGGTCAAGCCCCATGACCAACAAAAAAAAAAAAAGAAAAAAAAAGAAAAAAAGAAATACCAGTTTACTTGGATTCTGTCTCTACTAAGTTATAACAATGTCAGAATTCTATTTTTAGTTACTAATTTGGAAAAAATTAGGTAAAAAAAGTAGGAAGAATTCTTGCAACACTGAATTTTTTTTTTTTTCAGTAGTGGGGCTTGAACTCTGGGCCTGGGTGCTGTCCCTGTGCTCTTCAGCTCAAGTCGAGCACTCTACTGCTTGACCACAGCACCACTTCCGGTTTTCTAGTGGTTTATTGAAGATAAGAGCCTCACAGACTTTCCTTCCGGGCTGGCTTTGAACTGAGATCCTCAAATCTCAGCCTCCTGAGTAGCTAGGATTGCAGGCGTGAGCCACCGGCACCTGGCTAACACTGAAATATTATTGGTGATATTAATAGTTTTTTTTGGAACAATGTAGTAGGTAGTGAAAACACATCCTAGATAAAATGTCAGGAGGAAAAATATAGCTATATAAACTCTCTCTCTCTCTCTCTTTCTTTGGTTGTGGGGTGCTGTCCCTGCCTCTTTGTACTCATTGCTAGTGCGCTACCAATTGAACCACAGCACAATTTGTGGTTTTTGAGTGGTTAATTGGAGATAAGAGTCTCATGGGGACTTTTCTGCCCAGGCTGTCTTTGAACTGTGATCCTCAGATCTCAGCCTCCTGAGTAGTTAGAATTATAGGCATGAGCCACTGGTGCCCAGCTAAAAATACAGATTTCTATTAGATATTTATGGATATCACAAGCTAACCAGGTAATCTAGGGACAACCCAAAATACTATTGAACAGGCAAGTAAATTTTGGTAGAACATTATGATCAAGTGTTAGGTTACCATTGATGTCACCAGTATGTGGATCTGGTATACAATGTTACTCTGGAAGAGTCTACCTGCCATAATGTCTACTCTAAAAACAGAGCACAAAATAATATGATGCCCCTCAGTAGATTAATTGATCAAAAATGTGATATATGTGTATACACACACACACACACACACATATGAATTCTGTGCTTCCATCAGAAAGAATAACATCGCCCCTTTTGTTAGGAAATGGAAATACTTGGAAAAAAATCATATTAAGTAAGCCAGACCCAAAGAAATATAGGTCCCATGCTTTCCCTCATTTGCAATAATTAGTATATATCAAGGATAATTTTATCAGATGAGCAGAAAAGCTCAAAAGCTATGTACATATGACCATATAAGATGTTGCTAAGTGAAATGAACCCCAAGATATGGACACAAGGTCTCTCTTTGTTGTTGTTTTAAATGTGCTATGTGATTTTTTTTTGTTTACTTTGTATGTTCTTCCCCCTATGGGAAATCCGCTGTCATCACTGTACTTGATTTTGGTACCCTGCATCTTGTATATACATTTGTCTTAATTTGGGGAAGGGAAGGGGAATAACAAAATGCTGAAATAAGGACACAGGATGACCCATTGTAAGAATGATACCCACAAGACAGTATATTGGAAATGAACTTTACAACTTGGGGGGAGGAAGGGAGGGAGAGGAGGGATAGTGGGAGGACAACAGAGAGGGGGTAACAATGCTCGACAAGAGATGTGCTCATTGCCGTATGTAACTGTAACCCCTTGTACAGCATCTTTACCATAAAATAAAATTAAAAAGAAATAATATGTACCAGTAAGGACTTGAATCATAAAGACAGAAAGAAGACCCATGGCATTTGTGGCTACTGGAGTATATGCTGACAGGGTATCTTACTTTTTTTTTTTTTTAAGAAATTAACTTTGTTAATTAAGTTAATTGGTTTTTTTATGGAATAAAATACATGTCTAATATGTAGAGTATGTTATGTCTTTATTGATGTAAAGCTGAAATTTATTATTTTAATCATCATAGAATGAAATTATTTTCACTTTTACAGATGGAAGTATATACTTCCATTGTATTTGTCACCACCATGTACTTTTCAGTCCTTATTGCTTACTTTATGTTTGTGGCATCTTTAAGGTTAAGAAGTTTGGTGGTACTTTTACAAATAGTCTCCTTTCACTTCATTTCTCTGAGTTTTGTCTGCATCCTGTGCTGAATTCTATACATCATTCCAAAAGTAAAAACACTTAGGCTGATATTGTCTCCCAAGTATTCTTTTTTTCTCATGCATTTTGAATTGTTATTATAAAGGTGAGGTACAGAGTGGTTACAGTTACATAAGTCAGATAAAGAGGACATTTCTTTTTTAACAATGTCACCCCTTTCTCCTTCCTAGTTTTCCTCTTTCGTCCCCACTCACATTGTATAGTTCCTTTTCAACATAGTGTCTAGTGAGCACCACTGCTGTATTTGTTCACCCTTTGTCCCACCATTTTTGTGCCTCCTTACCCTCCCAAAGATAAATGAACAAACAAGACAAAAATGATAGGAAAACAAAAATAGCAAAAAAGAAAAAAATCTCATTTCCATTTTCTGGAATTCATTTCAATAAATATTTTATGATCAGCTGTACATGGGTATTGTTTTTACAAGGTTATATTATTTCTTATGACTTAGCTAGAATGAAGCAGTTGTTTTAAATAGGAAGAATTAATTGTTAAAAGTCAGAAACCAGTTTCTTAGTATAGCTTTTATTCCTTTGAGATTAGATGTTATTACAGTAAATGAAGCCATCAAACAATGTGGTAAAACTTAAGTTTTACAGACAAAATTGAAATCAACTAAATTGTATAAATAAGATACAGAAGAAATAATAATTAATGAGTGTCTATAGGCAGGATTATAACCATCTTATAATATTACTAATGTACTTGAAAAGCAAATTTATATAAACAAAGATACCTTCTAAAATTTTGTACTAAAATAGCTAAAGGTGCTTATAAAATGATTGTCAAAATTGTAGCAGATTGTTATTTTTATTTGCTCAGAAACAATTTAATTTACTTACATTTAGTTATTTATTCATTTATTTATTTCAGTATTGGGGTTTGTATTTAGGGTATTATGCTTCTGAGTGTGGCTTGAGTCATACCCCCAGCCTTTTTTGTTTTTAGTTTTCAAATATAGTCCCAAATTTATGCCTGAACTGGCCAATACTTTGATCATCCTCACATGTTTCCTTTGTAGTTGATATGACAGGCATGTTATCATGCCCAGGTTTTTCTTGGTTATGATAATGTCTTGTGAAGGTTTTGCTTGAGTTGGTCTCAAATCATGATGCTCCTGATCCTGTAGCATAATGAGTTAGCTAGGATTTATAGGTGTGAACTGATAACTGATGACACTTAAACTTTTATATGGCTTTTATTTTGCCTAAAGCATCATGTTTCTCTATAATGACATATGTGCTTATTCTTGTTTTACAATGTTATGATACCACTATTAATAACGAATAGAATTATTTTTGCTTATATGAAAAGTAGAGTAAGAACCATGAACTATACTATTTAAGTGAGTATTATAGTTATATATAGAATGCCATTTAGATAGTATGATATGAATATGACCCTTTGAATAAGACCTGAACTTAACAATGGCTTCAGTGTGGAGCAAGAAAATGCACATTGAACTAATCAAGGAATGTAGGCTTCTTACATTATATTGAATATTTTTAGTCATACAAATGCCTAATTCACATGGTGACTATTTTATTTCCAATTGTATTAATATTTGGCTCTGTTTCCAGGGCTTATTTGAACAGCATTGCTTCCAAGTTCAGTAACAGCTGTTAAATAATTTAGTTCACAGATTTTAATTCTGTATAGGAAACAACACTGTGAAATATGTTTTGCTTTTGTAATTTTTAAGCTTCATTTCTCTTCTCAGTTACAGCTATGATTTGTCCCACTCACTTCAATATAATCTTACTGTCTTGCGAATGCCCCTGGAGATGTTAAAGTCAGAAACAACCCAGACTCGCCAGGAGAGTTTTGACATTTTTGAAGATGAAGGATTAATTACACAGGGTGGAAGTGGTAGGTGGTTTGAAGGATACTTAATGCATGTGGCATCCATGAAATGGTACCTTATTAAATTCACTCACATTTCTTTCATATTTCTCCAAAATCTGCTCTTTATCTTTACATAGTTTTTTGGTTTTTTTTTTTGGGGGGGGGGGGGTGGTGGTGGTGGTAGGTACATGACCTTGACCAATTTAGAGAAACCATTAATCAGTATTTGATTTCATTTGTAGGCCAGCCAGAAAATTGCTGACATTTTCTAGCAATTATTCATTCAATTTTTTTTTTTTTGTACTGGTCCTGAGGCTTTAACTTAGGCCTGGGCACTGTTCCTGAGCTTTTTGCATATGGCTAGCCCTCTACTGCTTGAACCATAGCCCCACTTCTGACTTTTTGGTGATTAATTGGAGATAAGAGTCTCAAACACTTTTCTTCCCAGGATGGCTTCAAACCATGATCCTCAGATCTCTGTCTCCTGAGCATGAGCCACCCACTGTGTGTGTGTGTGTGCGTGTGCGCATGCACACGCTGATTCTGGAGCCTAAAACTCAACCGTGCTTTCCCTGAGCTTTTGTGCTCAAGGGTAGTGCTCTACCACTTGAGCCAAAGCTCTATTTCAGGTTTTTTAAAATTTTTTTTTTGTTTTTATTTTTATTTTTTGGTAGTTAATTGGAGATAATAGTATCACAGGCTTTACTACCCAGGCTGGCTTCAAACAGCAGTTCTCAGATCTCTTCCTCCTGATAGCTAGAATTATAGGTGTGAGCCACCAGCACCTGGCTGTTCATGCACTTTTTTTTGCCTGTCCTCAGGCTTGAACTCTGGGCCTGTGCTCTGTCCCTAGGTTCCTTTAACTCAAGACTAGCAGACTACCAGTTGAGCCACAGTGCCACCTCCAGCTTTTTCTGTGGCTAACTGGAGGTAAGAGTCTCTTGCACTTTCCTAACCGGGCTAGCTTCCAAACACGATCCTCAGATCTCAGCCTCCTGAGTAGCTAGGATTACAGACATGAGCCATTGGCACCTGGCTATTCATGTACCTTTTAAGGGATATATTCAGGCATAGACTTCTATTGAAATTTAAATGAGTAATTCTTTTTCTTTTCTGTCCTTCCTTCCTTCCTTCCCTCCCTCCTTCCCTCCCTCTCCCTCTCTCAGTCTCTTTCTTTCTTTTTCTTTCTTTCTCAGTCTCTTTCTTTCTTTCCTTCTTTCTTTCTTTCTTTCTTTCTTTCTTTCTTTCTTTCTTTCTTTCTTTCTTTCTTCCTTCCTTCCTTCCTTCCTTCCTTCCTTCCTTCCTTCCTTCCTTCCTTTCTTTTATTTTCTTTCTTTTTTCTTTCTTCCTTTCTTTTTCTTTCTTTCTCTATTTTTTTGAATACTGTAGAATACTCATAATCTTTTCCTTCAGAGAAACAGTTTTATAGAAGCAGAATTTAGGGAAAAGATGTGTTATTTATTGTGTGCTAGATGTTTACATGTAATGTTCTAAGTGTCATAAAACTCTGCTCTTGGGTATAATGGCATTTTTTTTTTTTGGTTGTAGGGCTTGAATTCAGGGCCTGGATGCTGTCCCTGAGCTCTTTCATTCAAGGCTAGCACTCTACTACTTTGAGCTCTACTTCTGTTTTTTTGGTGGTTAATTGGAGATCAGAGTCCATAGACTTTCCTACCTGGGCTGGTTTTGAACTGCAATCCTGATTAGCTAGGATTACAGGGATGTACCACCAGGCATCCAGCTACAACGCTAATTTTACAGAATTAAAGATTTACTAAGAAACAGAGGCACAGAAATGAAGATTATATGCCAGTGTCCAGAAGCACTAGTGCAGCATGTCAGAGGTTGCTTTTTCACTTGCTCAACCTGACCAAGTATACTTTCTTAGGCCCTACTCTTAGCAGGGCTAACTAATTTATGTCATCCTCAAAACAACCATATGTCAGATGAAAATGAGTAAACAGAGGTACTTTTTTAGTAAGTATAAGTAGCTCTCTACCTTATGACTGTCATACTATGTAAGAGCTAGAGTCAGGGTGAACTGGATCCAAGCACTGTCCCCATGCTGTGTTCTCACGGAGTACCTTCTGCCATTTCATGGCTTTATTCTCAGATTTTGTGTATGTCTCCTTAATTTTCCTCCCCTTTTCCCTTATATGAAAAGCTCTCAAATGCTTCTCTTTTTTGGCTTTGTACAGAAACTCAGTGTTCTGAATGCTGATATGAATGGTATCTATTAACATGACAATGCTGTTAATCAGGCATTGTATTTTGGAGTTAAATACTGAAGTGGAAACTCTTGAAAATGAGTTGGATATCAATTTCTTTATCTTTCTGATATAAACTTATTTTACAGGTGTATTTGGGATCTGTAGTGAGCCTTATATGAAGTACGTGTGGAATGGTGAACTTCTGGAAATAATTAAAAATACTGTGCATCGTGACTGGTTGTTATATATCATTCATGGATTCTGTGGACAGTCAAGTATCCTTTTCATATAAACCTTAAGACTTACACTGAACAATTTGCAGAAAGAAACATAGAAACTATAGGATTATAATGATCACTCTATGTAATTCAACAGGGAAATTTTGCCCATGGTGCTTTACAATAGATATTGCGAAGGAGGATGCAGACTATTCAAACGGAACTATTACATACACATACACACACACATACACACACGCACACACACATATAATGAGGAAGAAAGTGCTGTATATAAGTGTTGTATATTCTTATATCCTAGTGATAGAGGTAATGAAGATTGTATTTAGATGAGAGAAGGATCAAAATACCTGACAGAGAGGATAGTACAGGTTTATGAGAACAAATCTTAATCTAGGCCCTAAACAAAATTCATGCCTTAGCAGTGAGCAGCAAACAGTGACATTGCTAGTTGGAGAAGCACCATGGAGTAGGAAGTGGAAAAAAATGCATGGCAGTGTTCTCTGGCTTGTGTACGATTCTCAGGAGGCAGGATGTAATGGGAAGTGTACCAGAGATGTGAGTCAGATTGTGTCACCAGATTGATCTGTTTAGACTAAAACTTGATGGTCAGGCTAGAGTCTTTAGGTTTGATGCTGGTCCTTTTGAAAGTTTTTGTTTAGGAGGGTGGTAAGTAGTATTTATAGGAAGTTTGAGTTGACAAGTCATTTTGAAACTGAATTAGGAAGAATGAGACAAGGGACATGAGTTAGAAAAAGCCTTCAGTAATAGTTTAGGCCCAGTGCAGTGCAGGCTTGGATTGGAAGGGAGTTGTAATATATTAGAAATATGTTGAACTTTTATTAAGCTGGTAAGTTCAATTTATTATAAACTTTTTCCCTCTACAAACATGTTTTCTTTCATTTAATTTCTTTCTCTCTGTCTTTTTTTTTTCTCCTTGTGCAGGTCCTAGTGCTTGAATTCAGAGACTGAGCACTGTCCTTTTGCTTAAGGATAGCAATCTACTACTTGATTCACAGCTCACTTCTGGATTTTTGGTGTTTAATTGGGGATAAGAGTCCCATAGACTTTCCTGCTTGGTCTGGGTTTGAACTGTGATCCTCAGATCTGTCTCCTGTGTGGCTAGGATTTTCAAGCAAGAGCCACCAGTACTTGTCTTAATTTTTTTATTTAAAAAAGAATTATTTTTATTATCTTTTAGTAGTTGTACAAAGGAGTTACTATTAACCAAATTTACAAATATACTGCATCTTGATTGATGTTACCCTTTTCATCATTCTCCCTAATTTCTAATTAACATAGATACCTTTCAAGAAAGTGCCATTGTGCTGTGGGGTTTAGAAGGACAGTGGATACTATTTAGAAGTGGATTTAGGTTTTTCTCATCACTGTTGGAGCTAATAGAGGGAAGTTGTGCTCTTAGTGTGTTTGTAGTTTTTTTTTTTTTCTTATATCCTAGGCTTTTAAAGATATAGGCTTCAAAGCCATTAAATGTAGGAATGTGACTAACCACTATGAATTTTTTTTTCTTGTGCCTGTCCTGGGGCATGAACTAAGGGCCTGGGCTCTGTCCCTGAGTACCTTTGCTCACTTGAGCCACAGTTCCACTTCTGGCTTTTTTTTGTGGTTAATTGTAGATAGAAGTCTCACAGACTTTTCTGCCCGTTCTGCCTTCAAATGGCAATCCTCAGTTTTCAGCCTCCTAAGGAACTAGGATTGTAGTCATGAATCACCAGCGCCCTCTAGGCTCATGCTTTTTTTTCACCTGAGTATTTGAGAGAAAGGGAATCACTGGCATATCCAGTGGCTGGCCTTGGAGAACAGAAGTGCTGCTTTTTCTGTGACAAGTAGGGAGATGAGAGGTCAAGTGCAGACATAGGGTTTTGAAGTGGAGATGAGTGGGATTGATATGCTGCTATACTTGAACATCAGGCTCATTACTTTATAATCATTTTGAACCAGAGTTCTATTATCTGCTGATTCACTATACAGTGAGATTTGGTCCTGAATCACTTTTGTCTGCTTTAAAGAATAAAATATACCTGGGGAAAACAAGTATTTCATCACCAAAATTGCCCAGAGAATTACTGCAATGAGTCTAAAATCCATTAAAATTTTAAAATTATTATTATAAAGGTGATATACAGAGAGGTTACAGTTATGTAAGTCAGGTAAAGAACACATTTCTTCTTGGACCATGTCACCCTTCCCTGTCTGTCTCCCAGTTCTAAGATCCATTTTTTAAAGTGTAGTTCTAAGAGCTTAGCTCAGGACCTGGCAAACTGGATGTTGGCAGTGCTTGTTTTTAAATAGTGAACAGCACCATAGATTATCATTTTAAAGCTCATTAGTTTAAATGATGCATCTTGTCTCCCAGTCATCAAGCATTTAATGAATTTTGGCAGTGTATGCGACGATAAAAGCCATTGCTGTCTCTTGAACATTTCCTCCAGGCCAGGGATTACGAGTCTAACACAAATTACCTCAGCTAATCTTCCCATCCACCTAGCAACAGTACAGCCTTTGTAGTCTTTTATCTACAATGTTTAGGGACCAAAAGTGGTTCAGAATTTAAATTTCTTCTGATTTTGGAATATTTGAAAAAGCATGAAATAACTTGGAGAGCCAAATCTAAAGATGAAATTTTAGTTATGCTTCACATATACCCTAAGCATTTGGAATTTTTCTACAAATTTTTAGTCTGCCTGCATTTTGACTGTGGTCTGTGAGGTCAGGTGTGGAATTTTCCACTGCCACTGTGGCTCATGTTGTTGCTCAAATAATTTAGGATTTTAGTACATTTTGAATTTTAGATATTTAGATTAGGGGTGTTCAATCTTTGCTACTTTTTAATTTTTATAATAGATGAGATTGTGGCTCAGAAAGTAATATAACTAATAAGCTGTAATTTGCTTAAGCAGTTCACACTAATTCAGTATTCAGGTTTTGGACTGCTCTTCAAGTATTCATTCAGTTTCCTTGGTATTGTATATAATAGCACTATCGTGCTTCATAATTTAAGTATCTGGTCAAGTGTTACTGCTCTCTTTGAAAGGCATTCAACTCAGAAGACTAAAGGTTTAGTTGTTCTAGTTTCCATCTTTACATGGCTGTAAGGACAGAGAGGTCTTCTCTTAGCCAGCAGCACTATACTTGGTTCCATTCCCTCTGAAATTCAGAGAAACCATTCCTTAGGCAGGTTGGTTTTTGCCATCATACCTGACTCTTCAGAAGAACCACTAGACTTAGTGTTCTTTTATCCTCGGGTGAAGCTTTTGACGTCTCTAGGCTATTGGAAAAGATCATCTAAACACATGCATGCTAAGATACAGTGATTCTTGATGTTGTATGACACTCTAAAACGCTAAACTACCTTAACCTGATTTCTAAGAACTGTTGATCTATGGACGTCCAGTCTATGTTACTCTAATAGCCAGAAGATCCAGTAAGTTTGCTGGGACCCGTTTTCTCAAGAGAGGAGCAAACTGTGAGGTAAGATGGCCGGCAGTGTTGCTGCTGGTGTTTTAACCTTTTACATCAGCTTTGCTGATGGGAATGAAGCAGAGTAGAATATTAGAAAGTGTAATTCCTGAGTTTGGCATATCAAGAAAATAATTCTTCAGAGTATCTAAAATTAGGGAGAAATATGGAGTTATGAAATTGCTCATGTTTGGGAGGATGAACCATTTCTGAAATATGTGAAAAAATGTTTAATGTAGAGACAGAAACAGCAAAGCACCCCCTACATACACTCAAGCAATAAGGAGAAGGTGTCCTCCTTATGGGGAAAACAGTCATGATAGAATAGAGTATGGCACAACATTGTCTTCTTTCCTGGACTCCTTTGGCTGTTCACTATAGAAAATGGCAACTCTCCCATCTTGATATCAGCCATGTCATCTCCTTGAATGATCCATCCCTGTCCGAAGTGCACAACTGAATCTTGAGCGATGTGTGATTGAATAGACAACTTGAATGAGGCATTGGACTTTGATCCTGGCTTAAAAATAGCATCATTGTTCTTCCAATTTTATCAGCATTGAAGGGCATTATAACTGATACTTTAAAAAGTCAGAGTTTTGCCCCTTTAGTATTTATAGACATGTTACTAATGTCTCTAAAATCATTTTTTTTATATCCTTGTAAGTAAAGCTGCCTTGAAATCATCCCCTGTCCCCGACGACATGATTATTTCCTTCTGCCCATGAGGCATTATTTGAATCTCACTCTTTCATCATTTCAGTCCTCTTTGGTTATTCAGAACTGAATTTTGATATCCCTCTGATCTTCCTTATCTTCTGTATAATTTCATGTAATTGTTTGTCTTTTCTTTCCATTCCTATCATTTATACCAGGCATAATCCTCTTACTTATCTGTTACTTGTGCTACTAGCTATTAAATTTGATTTTTTACCTAGTGTCTTTCTGTCACTTTTAATTGCTTTTCTTTATTGTACCTTAGTGGTTTTGCTTTTCTAATGTGCACATCGACTATTGACAACATTTACCTCTTTTAAAACATTGAAAGAATAGGAGTTGTAATTTCACTGTGTACTTGAAATGTTTTTTTCATTAAAAAGTTAAAATAACATAAAATACCTTTAATCGCATCTTCATTTCAGGGTGATGTTGCAAATGAAGTGGAGACTGAACAGATACTTTGTGATGCTTCTGTGATGTCTTTCACTGCTGGCAGTTATTCTTCTTATGTGCAAGTTAGAGGATCCGTTCCCTTGTACTGGTCCCAGGACATCTCCACTATGATGCCTAAGCCACCTATTACATGTGCGTGGAGCAGTCTTATAAGTAACTCTCCTCTACTCATATGAACTATTCTCACAGAAATCTAATAAACAATTAGGTTTTAATCCTCTAACATAACTTAGAAGAATAATTTCTATTTATGTAATAAATTTATCTTTAATTTTAAATGGTAGTAAATTATTTACATTGTACTGCAGAAACTTAAGAGTTACTTAGACGTAATAAATATATGATGGGGCTGGGAAGGTGGCTCAGTAGTAGAGTGCTTGCCTCACATGCAGGAGGCCCTGGGTTTGATTCCTCAGCACCACATAAGCAGAAAAAAGCTGGAAGTGGCACTGTGGCTCAGGTGGTAGGGCACTAGCCTTGAGCTGAAGAGCTGAGGGACAGCACCCAGGCCAGAGTTCAGGCCCCATGACCAACAACAACAAAACAAAAAACAAAAAAAAAACATGATGAATGAGCATCACACATTGAGAGGGATTCTCAAAGTGAAACTGGTAGATTAGTTGCATTGCATTTCTTTTGGCATTCTTGAGGATGCTCCACTTCTTTTGTTTCTGCCTTATAATTTTCCTTCAGGCATTTCTTCATCTTTTTTCCTTTCTTAGTGGACCAGGCGGATCCATTTGCACATGTGGCTGCTCTTCACTTTGATCAGATGCTTCAGAGGTTTGGCTCTCCCATCATCATCCTGAATTTAGTGAAGGTATGATGTGCTCTTCAGACACATTAGGTAATCTTTCCTCAGCACAGAGCAAATTTGCAAGCTGGACTTTACCTTTTCCCAAAGGAGAGACTTAGGATTCTTATGCTATAATAGCTTGTAGCTCGCATAATAACTGTAATAGCTATTGTGCTTTGACCTCAGATTTCTTGTGACCTCTTCATTATATACTAGAAGAGTCAGCAATGTTTCCAACAGAACAAAGGGTTCAATGTATAAAGCTTCTGATTTTCTTGTATAAATTTGGTGTCCATGAAATTTCTGTATTAGTTTTCAAGACAACTTGGAGAAGGAAGCATGAAGATCACACTGCTACAACCTTGCCTTGGCTCAGCCAGTGTCCTTACAGTTTGTAGCAACTTTTGGACAAATTAATACATAATAATAAGACCGAAATCATGTGTTCAGAAGTTGGGTCGTTTTGTGGCTAAATACTCAAGTGGGAATATGAGGAGCTTCAACAGAGTGGTATTATTGGCTTCACAGTTCACTGATTTCTATTAAGAGTATCCTGACAGAGTTCCCTGATTCCTATTAGAGTATCCTGACTGGTCAACATGTGTGTGTGTGAATATATACAAACAGGCTAGAGGCTTGGGATGGAGGGCAAGGAGACACACAGTAAATTTCATCTATATCTTTTACAGCCAAGTAAATGGAAAGAATCAGTCAGTAGCCAAATATCCTGACAGTACATGTACATATGTGTATGTATATTGTATGTAATGATCATGGCAGTAGCCAACAGCATAATATATGTGAGGTTAATTCTAAGAGGATGATTAATAAAACTAATCAATAAAAAATCAAGGAATTTCATATCCATTTAGTCACTTAAATGTTTTCGAGGGTACCGTCCAAGGCAACCATAGAAGCATCTTGCCTTCATGGAGCTGCCAGTCTGAGAGAGATGACAGTGAAGTAATGTAGAGGCCCCAGTACAGGTCCTAATAGAAGAGAACACTTCTCAGAAGACATGAGGAATCAGCTCAACACAAAGAGAGAGGAAGTACTAAGGAGAAAAAAGAACAGTATTCAACTTGGACAATAGGCATGCCCTTTGTTTGTGTGTGTGTGTGTGTGTGTGTGTGTGTGTGTGTGTGAGAGAGAGAGAGAGAGAGAGAAAGAGAGAGAGAGAGAGAGAAAATATACATGTGTGTGCTTGCTTCTCTGGCAGCATTAACTTATTTTTAAGATAGCAGGAAATGTTACTAAGAGTAGAGGTTTCAGGGCAGTGGAGAAGATTTAACAGTCTTGTGCACATGTGAGTGTACGCATGTAAGCTGACTGTAAACATCCAGACTATCCATTGGCAATAAGATTTCTTAAAGGACCCATTCTGATGTTGCATACCTTTACTCAGGTTTGTTTAGTTTAGACACAAAAAGACAAGATCAAAAGCATTTTGGATAGTGGCAATAGAATGACTACAGTGGACTTTGAGAGCCAAGTTGTATGAGGAGGAGTTAGTGAGGTGGGAGCCTCATGTGGTGGGGCATTTAAGGCAGAAACAATCTGAAAGATGTTCTAATAAAAGATGTTCTAGTTAAGAAATGTGGAAGGCAGAGCAGTTAGCTGTGAGGATGACATGCTCTAAGATAATAGGCACTTAAATGGAGTGCAACAGAAGTTAGAAGTACTGAAAATTACCTAGAATGGGGAGAAAGCTTAGATAGGAAGACAGTTTTCAGGCATGGATTGTAAAATACAATTGAATACATGAGCTAAAATAACTGTGTGTGTGTGTGTGTGTGTGTGTGCGTGGGTGCGTGCGCGTGTGTGTGTGTGTGTGTGTGTGTGTGTGTGTGTGTGTTTAATCAAGAGCATGGAGGAATAGGGCCCCAAATTGAAAAGTATGAGGCAGGGCTGGATAAGGCAGTTAGTTTCTTTCTTCCTTTGTTGCTCTTTGATTTATGTAATTACATCTTACTAGCTTTGTCAAATAAATCATGCAGATATTAAATACATCACTTTCTACTTATTCATATTTATTTAGAAATTCTATATTCATGTCTCTTTCCCTGTCGGCTCAGACTATTAAAAGAGAGAAACTGAGTAATCTGTAATCTTCTCTCACTATTGAATAGAAACTGTAATACACAAATTGAAAAATTAAAGTGGAAAAACTTGAGTAATAAAAATATTCATCAGCAATTTCCCACTAAATGTATATATTAATATAGAAATATTGTTAAAGGAATGAGTTACAAAGCATTGCTAAAAATAAATTAGTGGATTTTGTTCATGGTTTTCAAAGTCTTCACAGTTGGTTGAAATGTTCTGGTTAAATGGACATTCAGCTTTATAGTGCTTGAATTAATTCTTCCATTAACTATGCACCTTCAGAAACTATTTTATACAGGTGATTATGAACTAACTATGCTTGCCACGGAGCTGGACCCTTTTTGCATACCCCATAGTTAGGCCATTGACATAAGTTGTGCTGAAGATGGTTTATTTACAGGGCAGCCAATCACATGGGTATGTACAAGAAAGCTAGCCTCAGATTCGTCTCCCCCAGGAGGTGAGGGGTTTATGGGACAAAGAAGCAGAATGGTCTCTGGCATGAGAAGGGTGATGGGAAGTAAGCACAAATGGAATAATTAATGTTCTGTACTTATATAGTCAAATTTTATGGCTTTTCATTGAATACATAGAAACACATAGAACATAGAAAATAACACATTAATGTACTTTGAGAGTGCAGTTTTGGGCCTCCTGAAATCAAAATGTCACCCACCAACTGGACACGAATATAGGCCCAAGTGAAAGATCAGTGATTTCAACTGGTTTGAAAGACAAAAGCAGCCTCCAAGTTGTGAGAAGCAGCTTATGTAGCCACTACCCTTGTAATTCATACATCAGAGCAAAACTAGTAGGAGTCGATTGCTTAGCTACATGATCTTTAAACTGGTGATAAAAGCTAGTAACTAAAGGGCTGGGAAGGTGGCTCAGTGGTTGACCCCTTGCCTTGCATGCTCAAGGCCCTGGGTTTGATTCCTCAGCACCACATAAGCAAAAAGAAAAAAGCCGGAAGTGGCGCTGTGGTTCAAGTGGTAGAGCGCTAGCCTTGAGTTGAAGAGCTGAGGTACAGTGCCCAGGTCCAGAGTTCAGGCCCCACGACCGGACCCCCCAAAAAAAAACAAAAACAAAAGCTAGTAACTAAATAGCAAGTACAGCTAGATGGTTTACTAGGGTTTCTCTCCGTGTTTGTCATTCCTCAGATTTTCACATATACATTTATTTTTGAATATTTATAACTAGTCAATAGATTTTAAAATTAGATTAGGTCATTGTTCCATTGTAACCTGTCAATAACTAGAGATTAGATTATAGTTGGAAATGAAATTGCCATTTCATGGGGAAAATAAAAACACATCCTGGGGGCTGGGAAGGTGGCTCAGTGGTAGAGCGCTTGCCTTGCATGCCTGAGGCCCTGGGTTCTATTCTTCAGCACCACATAAGAAAAAAGAAAAAAGCCAAAAGTGGTTCAAGTGGTAGAGTGCTAGCTTTGAGCTGAATAGCTGAGGGACAGTGCCCAGGCCCAGAGTTCAGGCCCCACAACCAGACCCCAAAAACAAAAACAAAAACACATCCTGTTGCCTTTTGTCACTGGTCATTTTATCTATAGGATAAAAAATATTTTGTTCAATTGTAAGAATACCTTAGTAATTTGGGATTAAAAGTTAAATTATGCTGGTGTGTGTAGAATAATTCTGTGGAAGCTACTAAGATAGAAATTTTCTCTTAATTTTTTTCTCTTTCATCTTGTATGATGCTTGAGGCATTGATTAAAAGACAATTTGCAGAAATCCAAGCACTTTCAATGCTACTACAGGTAGTCCCTAGGCTCAACCTTGAGCTACACATCAGAGGCCTCTGGGCCACTGATGGCCATTGGGGGAACCTCATCAAATGATAGAACAACTTGTATATGTGAAGCTTTTATTTGATTTTTTAGAAGAGTCTGTATCCTGAGAAGGTTGACTAAACAATTCATTAACACCAATCCACTATAGATAGTACAAAGCAGATCTTTGCATACAGATGATAAAAGGTTGATATTGTAACCCTTTCTTTCTATCCTGTAAAATGACAGGTTTGAATAAGAATTTCAAAATATTTTTGTTTCCATAGTTGTTTTAAAGTATTTTTGTGAAGAATTCTAGATAAGTAAGCTTCTCAGATTGAAAAAGAATCAAGACATAGTGTTAATCTAAACTGATTTAATACTTCTTAATTCTTCCCTAGTTTGTTCATTTGGATTAATTAAGCACAATAGAGTTCCTTGTTTGTTTCCATAGTAGATCTAATTGTATTCATTGCAATTGAAAAGTAATCTCCACAACTGAAAAGAATACAAAACTATTAGGATGCCAGCCATTATGTCTTACAGTCTTTTTAGTGTCACTGTTACAAAACTGTTTTTCTTCATTCCTAAGTGTTAGCTTTGGGATAATACTAAAAGTAGCCCATTTTTATTGAGTGCTTACTATGTGCAGATTTTACTATGCACCTTCAGGAACTATTTTATACAGGTGATTATGAACTAACTATGCTCGCCACTGAACTGGACCTTTTTTGCCTACCCCATAGTTAGGCCACTGACATAAGTTGTGCTGAAGATGGTTTATTTACAAGGCAAATAAGAACTTTGTCTAATTTACATTAAAATTGGGCCAGTTGAAGATTATTTTCCGGACTGTAGCTGAACCATGTGAACACAATTCATATTGAAACGGAATGTCTGTAAATTATATTGTCTAAGATGTATTAAGTGTATTAAGTTCTAAATTAATTAGTTCTCTTCAACTCACACAAATAATAAACTTTGAAAAAATTCTTAAGTTCAACCTCACATTAATGCTATAAAAGGAAGATAACTGTTGTTACCTATTTTATAGATTTAAAAAAATAGAGACCAAGGGAAATGGAAATATTGCCCAAAGCAGTAAGTAGCAGTATTGCATCCTCAGAGGTACAGTAAAACACTAGCCTTCTTGATAGGGGCAGTGTTGAAGGACATGCTATGGGCAGGAAGTAAAGTATAATGCCATAAATGCCTCTTAGCCTCAGTTTATTCTGCCACAGGGTAAAAGGGAGAAAATTCCTGGCTTGGCTACTTCACAAGGTATTTTGTGAGTCAAATATGAAAGAATATGAAGGCTTTGAAAATATCCTATGTTAAACCAGGTGGAGATTGTCTACTATATCCATCTCATTTTTCTCTGCTCCTTTGCTAGCTGGAGTGGATGGAATCCTTTCTTCTGGTCGTGGGGGTCAGGGAGGGTCTTCTGCCAAATGTGGGCCAGACCTGTATGGGACAAAGTGGGTTTGGAATAGTTGTTAGAAATTTGATCCCCTGAGCTCTTTAGAACTCATTATCTAGTCTGGGTGTTATATGACTGTAATCCCAGCTACTGAAGAGTTGCAAACTGAAGGATTGAGGTTCAAGGCCCGGGGAAAAAAGTGAAGATCCCTGAAAAACAAAACTAAAAGCAAAGGACTTGGGGTGTGACTCAAGTGATAGAGCCTACCTGCCAAATAAATAAATGCTCATCTGTTGACTCTCATTCAAAAAGGATTTGTATTATTTACATATTAGAAATAGGTTTATTTCAGTGGTTTGCAACTTAGCCTTTTTTTCTTAGCTTGGCTGAAAAGTACAAGTGTTTATTAAGTCTTTGCTTTGGGGCAGTTATAATGTAGACATTTAAATTTTTTACATTTTTGATAAAGGAAAGAGAAAAAAGAAAGCATGAGAGAATACTGAGTGAAGAACTTGTTGCTGCTGTGACCTATCTTAATCAGTTCCTGCCTCCTGAGCACACCATTGTCTACATCCCCTGGGATATGGCCAAGTACACGAAAAGGTGAAAGGCACTCGTATGTCTCTCTGTTATAGTTCCCTTTTCTTGTAGTAACAAATGGCAGGAGTTGGTTTCTGCGATTCCCCTCTTGAAACATGCTGAGAGATTGATTGGACTGCTTAAATGAATTGACCCCACTCTTTCTTTTGTAAAAAAAATTTTTTTTATTGTGAAAATACCATACAGAAGGGTTATAATTATATGAGCAAGGTAATGAGTACATTTCTTATCAAGCATTGTTGCCTCCTCCTTAGTTTCCCCTTACCATCCCTGCCCTCCCAGCTCCCCCACCCCAAGCCCCCCCCAAAGTTGTAAAGCTCTTTTTTTGACATAACGTCTTGTATATTTCATTGTTGCAATGTGACCCCACTCTTTCTGCCTGACATAAATGTTACTTGCAAAGTGTCCAGCTATTTCAAACTACCTCAATTCTATAGTTTCCCTTTTCTGTTTCCCTCTATCTCGTTATTTAAGTTCTCTCTGACACCACTCTCCTATTGCGGATGAATTGTGGATGAATCTGTAACCTTGATAGGTGACTTGATTGACAGCTCTTAAGGAATGAAAGACTTTAAGAGAAGTTCCTGTAGGGATGGCTCATGCCAAGATTAGGAATGCTAGCTCTCTTTTGCCTCTGATTTTATTGGTTACTGAGTACACAATCCATTCCTACATTAATTATTAGTGTTCCTATTAAGTATAAGCCAAGAGATTTACAAAATTAAATCCCTGAATATCTTTACTATAGATTTTATTATTTATAGCTATGTAGGCTATGTATAAAAGTTGGGTTCTTCTCACTTTTATCATTCTTTCTCCAGCAAGCTGTGTAATGTTCTCGATCGACTGAATGTGATTGCAGAAAGTGTGGTGAAGAAAACAGGTTTCTTTGTAAACCGCCCTGATTCTTACTGTAGCATTTTACGGCCAGATGAAAAGTATGTATCGGGCTGGGAATATGGTTTAGTGGTAGAGTGCTTGCCTAGCATGCATGAAGCCCTGGGTTTGATTCCTCAGTACAACATAAACAGAAAATGCTGGAAGTGGTGCTGTGGTTCAAGTGGTAGAGTGCTAGCTTTGAGCAAAAAGAAGCTCAGGGACAATGCCCAGACCGCGAGTTCAAGCCCCAGGACTGGCAAAAAAAAAAAAAAAAGAACAGTATGTATCATATTAAAAACTTAAATCACAATTTTTGTTCTTATGGATAAAAATATCCTAAATAGAGGCAGTTTATACTTTTCAGAAGATGCTTCTAAGACTGTATAATGAACTGTGGGCCTGGGAGTTCCTCTGGTGGTTATATGACCTTGAGGTAGAAGCCAAGGGTCCTGCTCTTGCTTTATGGGACAAAAAACCCCCCACAGGATATATTTCTGAAAAGTAAAAATTTCCATAGTTAATTATATTGCTCAATATTTAATTAAAAAATAAAAATTTTCTGGTAGATTAAATATAAACACTTCTGTGAAACTATCATGGTATTGTAGTTACTTATTCACAAATCTTCATTACTAATTTGTAAGTGTTTCATGTGAATGGTATGTGTTTTATCTTTTAAGGAAGCAATATTATTTATTTCCTGAATTTTATTTTTCATTAACATAGTTAACTAAAATGGTCAAACAGCAAAATCCCCAAATGAGCTATTAGTTTATATGTCTTTTGGAAATAATTGTTTTGTTATAGCTCATGTTTGTCATCATTAGGCTTTTAGCAAACTTGGTCCACTCCAGTGGTCCACTGGAGATCTATGATCTCTGTCTGCTCCTTTGTTCAGTGATTCACTAGGAACACTCAGTATCCAGCATATTTTATACTCTAGTTATAATTTATTATGGTGAAAGAATACAAAGTAAAATTGGCAAAGGGAAAAGGTACACGGGACAAAGTCCCCCAGAAGAATCTAGGCACAAGCTTCCAGCATCTTCTCACAGTGGAGTCTCATAAAACACACTTAATTCCCAGAGAATTAAGCTGTGACTCTATGTATAAAACATTGCTAGTCAGAGAAGCTTGTTAAAGATTCAGGAATCTTTCCTGGTATGTGGTCACATATGCAGCTTCTGTCTGGCAAGTATCAAAATTCCAGATGTCCAGAAAAATAGTGTTCATCAAAAACCATATTGTTCTGCAAATAGTCTTAAGCATAGACAAACATTTTTTTACTAATTCTAGGAATAGTGGGAACTGTTCTAAAATTTACATTACCAGACACCAGTCAGGCATTGACTTTGTAAGCAGACCTTTCTAAGAATGTCAGTCAGACCTGTCTTTCCTGTCAAGCACTTTCTTTTAAATACCTAAAATAAATGTTAATTATGATGAATTATTTCACAATACAGCGCATTTCTACACATTATTTACCACATGGAGAAAATCAGTAGTCTCTAAAAGGAAATTTGCATAACAACCATAGGAATGAGGCTTTATAAATAAAAACTGGAGGTGGAGAATCCTAGTATTGAGTGGAGAAGGCAAAGGCATGGGAGATTTTTATTGGAAAGATTTCCTATGATATGTATAGCTAAAGAGACCAAACAGGACATAGATTTATATGAAAGCAAGGACGGCTTTGGTTGAATATGAGTGATAAAATGACATATGTAGGGGCAAGTTAAGCTGTCCCTTTCCTGGACACTTGGAAGAGAATATAGTGAAGGGTCCATCTTTGTTATCTGCATATTTCCTTGCCTGAATGAGAGTGTGCTGGGCACAGGTGGCTCATGCCTGTAATCCTAGCTACTTAGGAGGCTGAGATTGTGGTTTGAAGCCATCCTGGGCAGAAAAGTACAAGAGACTCTTATCTCCAATCAATTACTTAGAAAAGCCAGAAGTGGCACTTTGGCTCAAGTGGTAAGGTGCTAGTCTTGAGCACAAAGAGGCTCAGGGACAGCATCTAGTCCCTGAGTTCAAGCCCCAGGACAGGCAAAACAAAACAAGAAGGAGAGTGCACAAAATGAGTTGATTTTTTTGTGTGGTGTCTTTAGCTCTGTTATTTGGATTCTGTGATTCTTAACAAAGAGTACCAAAAATAAATACCAATTATATTGCTATTTTCTTTTTTAAAAAAGCAACAGACAAAATATAGCTAAGTGATAGAGCATGTGATCAAGAACCTAGGTTCAGTTCTCAGCACTGGAAAAACATTTTCTTAAAAGCATTTATTTTTAAACACAGGTGGAATGAACTAGGAGGATGTGTGATTCCCACTGGTCGCCTACAGGTATAGAAGGTTTTATGTATTCATAATCAATAGAATATATTCCTTGTGTGTGTATTTTCTATAATCAGCCATGGAGAGAGAAACATCTTATTTAACATGGAATTATGAATCATTGAAATTGATTTTTAAAAGCTTTACAGTGTTTTTAAATTTTATAAAAGGATATGTAGCTATAGTAATATGACCTTTGCCCCCTTTTTCCCCTGTATATTGTTTTATTATTAGAAATAGAAGCACAAATAAGAAAGTGAAAATAAGGTAGTGACTCTGGAAAGCAAGTCAGTCTACTATTACTTGTTATGTATACTTTTAAAGACATACATGTTTTTATCTGAGACCTGGTGGCTTAGCCCTAGCAATTCAAGGTTCAAACCCAGTTCACACAGAAAAATCTTTGAGAATATATCTCTAGTAATTAGCAAGAAGCAGGGTAGTTGAATGGCTTAAAAGTTGTAGAACACTAGCTGAGTGAGAGCTTGAGTTTCAGAGTTCAAGCCCCAGTGCCAACATATACAGACACAGAAAGGATGATATAGTTTTCACCAATTACTATTTGAGTTTCTACAATAAAGGAATTTTTTTTTAGTCTGCACTTATTGATACATGGGAAATGAGCTAGCTATTTATTTTAATAAATTTTCAGAGAAATAAATTAAGACTATGGACTAAGTTTAATGCTCTTATGACAATTTTAAGTAAGCAGCAAACATAACCTTATGAAAATTTAGATGTGCTTCATTATTTTAACCTTTAACTTTTACTAAATAACTCATATTTATTCAGGAATAACATCTGCCTACAGCCTTTTTTCCACTTCTTTAAGAAAAGTATTTTCCTGTATTATATAAGTAATTTTGGTAGCTGAGTAATAATTGATTGAAAATCTTAAGATGTTTCTCTTTAGACTGGCATTCTTCGAACCAACTGTGTGGACTGTTTAGATCGCACCAACACAGCACAGTTTATGGTGGGAAAATGTGCTCTGGCTTATCAGCTGTATTCTTTGGGATTGATTGACAAACCTAATCTACAGTTTGATACAGATGCAGTGAGGTAAGCTTTATTTTCTGCTATTTGAATGCCAGCAATAGCAGAAAGAAAACCGATTAAAAAGGATCTTTATGGATTCATTTCTATTATTAGAGTTTCAAAGATTATGCTACTAGATGACCATGTTTGCATTAATTCTGTAATAAATATCTATCTATTAAAGATTTGCATATTATTACCATTATTTTTGTTTTGACTTTTTCCTTATGTTGCCAATAAACACTACTTCTTTTAAAAAGATAAATCTGAAGTGCATAGTCACACTGTTAGTTTAATTTTAATATCCAGATAGTAATAAAATAGTAATAAAAATACTGTACCTTCATACATGTTTTTTCCTTCGGTTGTGAGGCTTGAACTCTGGGCCTGGGCACTGTCCCTATGCTCTTCAGCTCAAGGTGAGCGCTCTACCGCTTGAGTCACAGCACTACTTCCGGTTTTCTAGTAGTTTATTGGAGATAAGAGTCTCATGGACTTTCCTGCCTGGGCTGGCTTTGAACTGCTATCCTCAGATCTCAGCCTCCTGAATAGCTAAGATTATGGGTGTGAGCCACCGGTGCCCAGCCCTTCATACATTTTGAGTTGAAAAATTTATGTAAGATATATAGAACATCAGTTCTTCATTTAGGATTATTGTTTCTTTACTGAGAATTGGCTCTGTGACATTGCATGAAATACTATTATTTTTTCTTTTAAATAGAATGATAACTGTTCTTGGTCATACGAGCTTTTTTTCATATAGATTCAGCTGAGGAAGTAGTCAGCTTACACTTGGCCAAGTCCACAGATATCACTGCACTGAATATATTAACAGGCACTTGAAGAAACAATTTCTTTATTTTAACTTTTATTGTAAAGGTGATGTACAAAGGGGTTACAGTTATATAAGTCAGATAATGAGTACCTTTTTTTTTTTTTGAGCAGTGTCACCCCCTCTCCCATTTTCTTCCAGTTTTTCCCCTTCTTACCCCCCTTTCCACAAGCTGTATATTTCATTTCCAATATAGTGTCTAGTGATTAGCACTGGTGAATTGGTTCACCCTTTGTTCCACCATTTCTGTGTTTCCTCTTCCTGTCCCCAAGTCAGATAAACTTACATACAAGATAAAGTGTACAGAAATCAAAAACAGTGACAAAAGGGAATAATCCAAAGGGGCAGGGGGGAAATAACCACAAACAGTACAATTAAAAAAAAACCTCTTGTTTCCATTTCTTGTAGTTCATTATGATAAGCATCATTTTATATGATCATGTGCACATAGCTATTGAACCCTTGTGATCCTCTCCTAAGAATATCCTCCCAGTGGATGAATGGATCAAGAAAAGTAGTATATATATATATATCTATATATACACACAATGGAATTCTATGCTTCCATCAGAAAGAATGACATTGCCCCAATTCATAAGATAATGGAAATACTTGGAAAAATTTTTATTAAGTGAAGTAAGCCAGACTCAAAGAAACATAGGCTACATGGTTTCCCTCATTTGTAATAGTAGAATGTGCCTATAAATCTACAAGTAAATCCAATGGATAATAAAAGACAAAATTACACTTGGACATGATTAATTAAATGGTATTCTAAACATCCACACATTGAAGAAAAAAGTTTTAAATACAAACATAGTTTTAAGAAAGAATATGGTTCATATATTTGCTCACAAAATTTGTATCTCCCTGAAATTCATGTTGAAATCCTTACTTTAAACTGATGGTATTAAGAAACAGCGCCAAAGGAGGGGGGTAACAATGCTTGATAGGAAATGTACTCATTACCCTACTCTAGTAACTGTAACCCCTCTGGAGAGTAGCTTTACAATAATATATATATATATATATATATATATATATATATATGTATATGTAAAGAGAAGAAAAAAAGAACAATAAATTTTGTTTCCACATTAAAAAAAAGAGAGACAGGGCCTTTGGGAAGCATTTAGGTCTGAAGATGGAACACTCATCATTGGCATTAGTACCCTTTTAAAAGAGACCTGACAGCTAGCTAGCGTCATCCCATGTGAGGATGCAATGAGAAGGATACACCAGGAGTGGGCCCTTACCAGACACTTAAGTCTGCTGGTTCCTCTCCCTTTGACTTCCCAGCCTGTATGAATATGTATCAGTATAAATAGAATAAGGCATTGTCTACAAAAAGAGAATGTTTTTTTTCAAAGCAGTTCAGAGGGAACAAATTTTGTCATGAGAGGTAAATGGATCTGGCAGCCTTCAGAACTTTTGGGGTCTTTTTAATATTACTAGAAACAGCCCGGTCTGGCTTTTGATGGGAGGTTTTAGATACTCTCTCTATTTTTTTTTTTTTGGATCCGGTCGTGGGGCCTGAACTCTGGGCCTGGGCGCTGTCCCTCAGCTCTTCAGCTCAAGGCTAGTGCTCTACCACTTGAGCCACAGCGCCACTTCTGGCTTTTTTCTTTTTGCTTATGTGGTGCTGAGGAATTGAACCCAGGGCCTCATGCATGCAAGGCAAGCGCTGTACCACTGAGCCACCTTCCCAGCCCCTCTTAATTTCTTTTTAGTGTTTTCTGTGAATTTATTAGGCTGTCAGTATAAAATATAAGTTTTTATTCACAGTTATTTCCAGGTTGGTGAAGAGACTCCTTGAAAGGCCCAGAAGAATTCAGAAAATAATAGTCTTGTTCTGAGTCTTTGGCCTAGTGAATGACTTGTACAATAATTCTGGTTCAGTTCTTTAATGTGAGTTTATCTTCTGCTTAGGTTATTTGAGGAGCTCTATGAAGATCATGGTGATACCCTGTCTCTTCAGTATGGTGGCTCTCAACTTGTTCACCGGGTAAAAACCTACAGAAAGATAGCACCTTGGACCCAACACTCAAAAGACATCATGCAGACTCTCTCTAGGTATTACAGCAATGCTTTCTCAGGTAATTCTAAAATAATAGGTATTCCAAAGCTTACCTCATGAGCCTTTTGCTACTTACATATGTGCTTTTTTTTTTCAAAGCTATTTTGTTAAATAAAAGTTTGATTAATAAAAGTTTGTTACTTAGAAAGTGCTCAATAAATATTTGTTCAGTAAATGAATGAATAAGCATTTTATGTTTTAACTAAAGCATTCTTTTCATTTGGGCACTCAGAGTTGGAAGACGTGTGTGTGTGTGTGTGTGTGTGTGTGTGTGTGTGTGTGTGTGTGTACACGTGTGTGAGCATGTATGCACGTGTGCATGCATTTGCACATGCATGTGCACACATGTGTGCTAGTACTAGGGCTTGAACTCAGGGCCTTGCTCTCACTTGCTTTTTGCTCAAGGCTGATGCTCTACCATTCAAGCCACACCTTACTTCCCAGCTTTTTGCTGGTTAATTGGAAATACATCTCACAGACTTTTCTGTGTGGGTTGGCAGTTGGAGTTTTTATATAATGCAGCTTGCTTTGATTCTTTCTATATTTCTGCTAGTACTTTATGTATAACTTGTCTGAGGGTGTTGAATCACTATTTTTTCTAGTAGGGTTCAAAGTCTTGATAGTGATATAAGTATATAAATGTTATTGAGATTTTGAAATGTCAGCTAGAAATGAATAATGTTAATGTTAAATTAAGCTCATCAAATTATACTTCTTTTATGACTCTGTGACTTGTGAATACTAAATGGAGCAGGTTGTTGTAATGGTACTTTTCCTGTTTTCATTCTGGTACCCTTACCAATGAAATAGATCAAATAGACAAATCTTCATGCATATAATTTGTCAAATAAGCATTAATAGTGAATTTCATGGATCTTCAACTATTGAACAGATTAAGGATAAAAATGTTTAGAGAATATGGAGAAGATTGGCAGAGAAGTTCTTTGGAGTAAATTCTTACCTGCATGACTGTCACCCACCCCACTCTTTCCCTAAAGTGAGGGAAGAACTTCACTTAGACTCTGGATAAACCGAATATGGTTTCCTGTCATTGAAAGGACCCCATAGGTTGGCTGTGTAGCAGATCTACAACAGAGGTGTGTTCAAGGACAGTGCTGCCATGGTAGGAACTGTATTCACTTCTATAGTTGAATGGAACACAGGATACTTGTTTTTTTTACTGATTTCCAGATATGGGTTTCTTGGAGGAGGCTATCGACATTGGATTGGCCTGGTTCCTAACCAGTAAGGCCAGCCCCTTGAGGGACTGAAAGATCCTAGCACCAACAACCAGGAGTTAAGACTGGACACCTAAGGAACTAAGGAAGAAAGCTATAAGAAACTTCCTGATAAAAAAAAGATGTATGACCCAGGGAACTGAAAGAGGTTTTCCATGATGAGAACCTTAGCAGTATCCTTAAAAGCATCCTTAAGTCAGCTTTCAACATTTTTTAGGCCTAGACTGAATGAAAGCCAGTCTTCTGTGCTCTTATTAAAATGTATTAGTTTTCTTTGCTATGTAACAGATTACTATAAACAGCCGCTTAAAATAGTACACAGTCATTATGTCACCATTTCTATGGGTCAGGATTCCAGGTACAGCTGCGCTGCATGTCAGTGGCTACCTATAATCTTTCCTACTCAGGAGGCTGAGATCTGAGAATCTAGGTTCAAAGCTAGCCTGGGCACAGCAACCCAAGAGACCCTTATCTCCAGTTGACCAGCAAAAAGCCAAAAGTGGAGGCATGGCTACAGTGTTAAAATGTTAGCTTTCACACACACACACACACACACACACACACACACACACACAATTCCAGGTATAATTTACCTGGCTACAGTGTTAAAATGTTAGCTTTCTTACACACACACACACACACACACACACACACACACAATTCCAGGTATAATTTACCTGGCTCCAATGTTAGCTTTCACACACACACACACACACACACACACACACAATTCCAGGTATAATTTACCTGGCTCCTCTGCTTAGATACTTACAGGTAGTAGTTTAGAGGGTGGCCAGACTGACATCTCATTCAAAGGCTTGGCTAGGGAAGGATCCACCTCCTTCTTTGTTTACAGATTCAAGTTCTTTTTGCCTGAAGGACACATAGTGGTTTGCTTTTTCTTTGCTGACAAGGGAAAGGAAGTCTACAGCTTTGGACTGAGAGCAACAAAGAGTACTCTTTGCTGTATCTCATTGATCAGAAGAAAATCACCAGTCCTACAGATTTCCTACAAGGGAAATCTATCTGTTTCTGAAGTCTGCTATAATAAAGAGCACTAACGGATGACTTGAAACAACAGAAATTGATTGTGTCACAGTCCTGGAAGCTATCAGTCTAAAATCAAATGTTAGCAGAGTGGTTCTCCCTCTCAAATCCAGAGAGAATCCTTACTGCTTCTTTGTTGTGTCTGATGGTTGTTGATAATACTTGGTGGTATTGACTTGTAAGAGAAACATTTCAATCTCTGCCTACATTATCACATGATGTTTCTTCTCATGTCCTTGTCTTCATGGCTGTGTCCTCCCTGTCTCTCTTCTCAAGAAACCAGTCATACTGAATTAAGGGCTCACTGTACTCCAATGTAATTGTATCTTAGTGTGATTATATGTACCAAGACATTTTCATATAAGGGCACATTCTCAGGAGGTTAGGACTTCAAGCTATCTTTCTGGAGATACAATTTCAAAACACATAGAAGTTGTTGGGAAATGAAGGAATGTAAGTATAAGTCATGCACCAGCAAGTAGAGATCGCTCTGGGTGTATGTCACCCTGAAAACGGTTTACAAGTACTCTTTTGGAAGGATACCACTCCTCTGTCCATCTCCTGTCATCATTATCCCTGTACGGGCCAGAGCTTTTTAATAGGACTAGGGAATGAATGTGTTTCTATACATAATTTTTAAACAAGGGCAAAATATTAAAACATAATGATTGCTAATAGAAAGCAATATGTTCTTATAGAAAGATAAGACAAAATTATGCACAATTGAAAGATGCATTATGAAAGGTATTATGAATAATGTGGCTAAAATAGGCTTCTTTATTTTAAGAAGCCTGGTATCATTGAGATGTACACCTCATTTTAAAATTACAGTGGTTTTTATATAATGATGTTAATATGGCACATTTTCTTTAATGTATTCTAAATAACTTTGCAAAACTTAATCCGTCTTTGCTATACCTCTGGGGTAGTCAGGAAGGCACTGGTTAAGGAACTAGAATAATGAAGCATGCCTGTAATCTCAGTACTTGGAAGGCACTGGTGGCACATGCCTGTAATTCCTCAGGATTCTGAGATCTGAGGATTATGGTTCAAAGCCAGCCCTGTCAGGAAAGTCCATAAGACTCTTATCTCTAATACACTATCCCCAAAAGCTAGAAGTGGGGTTTTGGCTCAAGTGGTAGAGTGTTAGCCTTGAGCAAAAGAAGCTCAAAACTGTCCAGGTCCTGAATTTAAACCCCAGAATGGGAATAAAGGAAATACATAATAAAAAAAAAATGAGGCAGGAAGATTGGGAATTTGAGGCCAGACCTAGCTACATAGCAAGTTGTAGGCCATCCATCATTGTTTTTCTGTTTCTCTCAAGAAAACAAGAGTGGAGATTTTGTTTGTATAAATACATGCTGTATAGCAGCTTAGGCATTTCCAAAACTTCTTAAAGCTGGATGCAATAGATGCCTGCCTACAGTTCTAGCTACTGTGGACTGTAGGCAGGGCAAGCACTTGAACCCTTGAGTTTGAGATTAGCCTGGATAACAGGGGAGGGGCACACTTATGAGCAAAGTATATTATATGTGTGCATTAAAATGCCAAATTAACATTATTTTGTAAAAATAAAAAATAGGAAATAAATGAAATAATAAATAACAACCCAACAAAACTTGTTAAGGCTTTAGAGTTTGTTTCCAAGGAGCACCTTGGTTTCTGTTATGGGTAAAGCAAGGAAGGATGCCTTACCAGAGGGGACTCAGGTACTACCTTAGATGTTAGAAAAAGCTTTGAATTTCTCCAAGGATCGTTAAGCTGTTTCTGATTTTTTTTCTTTACAGTTAAAATTTTAAAGCCTGAATTTTCTTTCTGGAGCTAATGAACTTTAAATCCCACTATAAGAAGGAAAAACAGACTACTTGCAACAGTTAATAACTGAAATGCTGTATATATACCTATACTCTGGTATGTGTGCATGTGTGTGTATGTGATTTAAGTGTAGTAAATGCATATGCATACATGCTTGGAAGGGAATCTTGTCCTTCTCAACCAGAGATTTAAAAATATAAGGAACATGCAAGAGAATTGCTGTGAGGATTTTTCTTTTTGTCAGTTACTGGCCTTGAATTCAGGACCCATTCCTCACCTCTTTTTGCTCAAAGCTAGCATTTGAGCCACAGTGTCAATTCCAGTTTTCTGGTGGTTAATTGATCGTATCTTTCTCAGTCTCTGCTTACTTCTTTCTAAGAAGAAACTCTTTCTACACTTTTTCCCTTGGGATAGCACATTTAGCTTTTAAGCACTATTCATTTGACAATCAGATTTGAATCTCTAACTTTGACTTCTTTATGAACTCCAGACTCATCTAAATGCCTATCTAGCATCTCTTCTTGACTACTGTATTAGTTTTCCATGGTAACTGGGCAGCATTATTCATGTTCTTAACTGAGGATCTCACAACACTGAAGTCAAATGAAATAAAAACGAAGCTTCTATAAACAAAGTATTATTATAACACAAAAAATGAATTAAAAACAAAATCAAAATGTCAGTCACTTGGGCTCTTACTTAGAAGTTTTCTGGCTCATTCTCTGTTGGTAGACTTCAGTGCAGTTGTAGGACTGATGTCCCATGTTTCTGCTGGTAGTTGGCTGAAGGGTCACCCTTTGTTCCTAGAGGCTTCCTGCATTCATTGACTTATGGCTTGTTCTATTTTAAAGCCAGCAGTGGTACAGTGACTCCATTTTGTGCTTTGAATCTCTTTCTGTACTCTCCTGTCTTACTCTTC